TGTAATTGGTCATAACAACCTGCTTCAATAACTATAGAAAAGTGGCCCAATGACCCTACAAAACCATTATAATATGGCAACAAAGTACTCTAAACATCACAACATCTTACTCTAATACCCATAAGAATGTGTGTTTTTATGACCATTAGAAGGTATTGTATCAGTCATAAGAACCTGCTCTAATGATTATGAGAATGTATCCCAATGATATTACAAAGTCACTATAATCACCATTGAAACCAATTCAATGACTATTAGAATTTGTTCTAATGGCCATAAGGATTTAGAATATTTACTGTATTCAGATGAGCATAAGAACCCGCTCTATTGGCCATAAGCATCTGCTCTATTGGCCACAGAAAGATGCTTATACAGCATAAGAAACCAAGCTAACACCGGGCTGTGGCAAGGCCAGCCACCCGGGGCTTGAATTCCGGCATGCTGGCCTCCCTTCGGAGTTCAAATGATTAGCAGGCAGTAAACAAAAGGGAATGAGCCTCCCAACCCCATCCTCACCCTTTTTTATACCACAGCTGTTATAGGTTGTGCATATGGGCTTTCATTGACAGTTTGTTCCCACCAAGCTTGTTATGTGAATTAGCTGAATGCAGTAAGGAGTTTTTCCCATGCTCCATGTGAATCACCTGCATCTTCCCAGCTGCTAGCATAACACTGATGTGGTTGTGTAGGGGACACATTAGCCATGGGTGCAGGAACAATTAGCAAAACATAAGGACATGCAGGATCATTCCCTCCATGTTCATTTCTTGTAATGTGATGTCTCATGATTCCCTTTGTTGATAGGATTAGTACACAAATCAGATAACTAATGAATCATAAATGGCTGGTTGTGTGAATGTGAGTGCAATGTGAAACACAAAACATGCCAAGCATTGCAAGACAATGACTTGCATACCACTTTCTCTTGCTTATCATCTCACATGCTGTAATAGTCTTCTTGGATGATGCAACCATCTTGCCTAACCTGCTAGGCACATGCATAGCCAAGACACAACACCACCACATTATCTGATGATGCTTGTTGTTTACTTAGGGTGCAAGTATCAAAGTATACACCTCTGATTTAGCATGCAAGTGTAGGCCATGTGGGTTACCACAAATAGCCTAAAGCATGTGAACACAATTATAGATCCAGTCATTATTGTGAAGGGCACCATTCAAGTTGAAATTCCAAAATTAGCAGCCTGACAACAGTCAGATTTGCAGGGAAGATATTGATTTATACTTGGGGGGAGTGGGCCAATACTTATCAATAGGCGACGCAGGGAGCAGTTGCACAAGACTAGCACTGAAGGACTGAATGCCACAAGTGGGGCTGAAGTCGAAGTGGGTCACAGAAGTATGTATTAAAGGATCGCTACAGAGCTCTTTATATACATGAGCAAGGGAAAGCATTCCCATGGCAGAACAATAAGGAAGAGAACAATAGAGTCCAAAAGGAGAACAAGGGCCACTTGGCCACAGGAACAATGCAACAAAAGAAGTGTGGCTGGAGCTCTGCTCTTGTCTGATTGCTCCGCAATTGATACAACCATGTGGTCACATGGTGTGGTGGCTTCCGCCACCGGGGGATCGTCCTAGGCCGACCAGGGGACTGTGGCAAAGCACATTGTGACAATACTAGCAGATCGATTTCTGAGGAATTGGGTGTTTGAAGTTTACTTAAATGGTATATATAAAGTAATCATATCCAGTAGCACAATATAAGGCTTTTACATAGAGCAAATTTTGATAAACTTGTTGATTTTCAAGCTTATGATATAATTTTATTGTATACCAATTATTGAAATACTGTCTTGCAAGAGTATAACATATACAATTGAAGTCATACAATCACTATACATGTTATATTTTGTTTTGCACTTTATGGCTCAAGTAAGAAAGTGTCAGCACAGGAACAACAGGTTTTCACCCATTGGCAGGATGGTGTATAAGTGTTGTTTCCACCATACAAGACAATTTCATTTTATGGAGGTCACTGTACTTCATTGGTTTTAGCTTTGAAAATGGTTTATAATTTCAATGCTGGTATATTGTATTACCTCCAAACTATGTTTTGTATGAAGGGTAAAATTGGATTCATTGAAGATTCAAACATTCATTTTTTTGTCATCAAATTTGCTTTACACACTGTGTTCAGATCAGTATTTTGCATTTTGAGGCTTAATTAAGTATGTAAAAGTGCTGGAACAATTTTTTCCATACTCAAAAAATGATACTTTACAACTTTGGTCTTTACCATATAAAGCCATTTCCTTTAATGATTATATGAACATACTATAATAGCTATAACAATGCACTGTAATGATCATAATTGTCCACTCTAATGAACCTCAAAAGCTGTTTATGACCCTACAAAGCCATTATAATGAAGATAACAAAGTACTCTAATGATCATAATAAGGGTTTGTATTAGCCATAGGAAGATATTATATAAGTCATAAGAGTCCACTCTAATGATCATAAGAAAGTGTTCTGATAATGTTACATAGTCACTGTAATCACCATTGAAACCAATTTAATGACCATTAGAATCTGCTCTATTGACTATAAGACCTACTCTAACAACCATAAGAAACAACACTAACAATCATAAGAACCCACTCTAATGATTATTAAAAGGCACTATAACAACTCACTCCAATCACAATAAGGAAGTGATGTAACCATCATAACAATCCACTTTAATGACCCCACACATGTGTTTGTATGGTCCATTAGAAGCAATTATATTGGTTATATGAACTCACTCTAATGACTATAAGAATGTATTATGATCATTATAAGAACCTATTGCATTTGTTATAATAATCCACTTGAATGTGTATAATAAAGGGTTTCAATGACCCTACAAAGTCATGATAACATAGTAACAAAGTACTAGACATCATAACATCCTACTCTAATATCCATAAGAAAGTGTTTTTATGACCATTAAAATGTATTGTATTGATCATACTAAACAGCTCCAATGATCATGAGAATGATCCCAATTATATTATGCCAACATTATAGTAATCCATCTCTTGGTCGGGGGGCCACTGGACAATATGTTGCAGTTATTGACTGGTGACACGGGTACATTGGTAGCCTGGCTATGCTGATTGACCAGTGGGCAAGGTAGTGATGCTGCCTGACTCAGGGACAATTTTGTCCATGCGATACAAGACACTTATATGGGCCAAGGCAGCAGAAGTCTCTATGTGCAGTGACAGCAGGCCATGGACTTCACTATTGCTGCATCCGAAAGACTCTGGCCTTATGTATGCCATCAAAAGAAGTTATGTTAGTTGGTGGTGGGCTCCAGATATCCAGGAGGTGTTGGAAGATTGGGCTGTATGTCGAGGTCCTGCTCGAGATGCTTGCATGAGCCCACTGCATGACTACATATCCAAGGGGGGTTGGGCATTAGCTGCAGGTTGCTTGTGATGCTCTGCCACACAGTGAGCACCTCTACATTCTTGGCACTTTTCTCTGTCAGTGGAAATGAGCTATCTTTGCACATGATCATTGCACCACCAGTCTCATTGGCAACCACTATTTGTAAGTAGGGTGCAATAGGCACTTGCCCACAAGGCATTGCCGATCCCTAAACTGGAAGACAATGACAGTGCTTTTTATGATAGTGTGTGGAGGCTAGCATATGAAATGTGGCTTACAGAAGTTGACACTGTTTTGCATCCCTATGAAGCTGCCTTTGAATAATTTATCCACTCTGGCCTCTAAGGGCAGAGACCAGCTCTTGAATGGTGTCATGTCAAAGTTGTTGAGGTAGTTGAAGTTCAAAGATGTGTTTGACCCAGATGAAGGCTCAGTGAACGACATGAACATTGGGTTGGCTGCAATCATCTTATGTTGACAATGTGGCTGGCTGAAAATAAAGTTCAAGTTCATTGCACCTTGGGTGGCCATCGGCTCATTGTTGACATTCATCATATTTGGATCAAATGAGATAAATGGGTTGAAGTTTAGTGCTGATTGTAATTGTGGTGAAGAAATGGGTGATCTGCTTGACCCTACACCTGGAGAAGGAAAGGTGATGTTATGACTTAGGGTCAAGCAATAGAGTAGGAACAAACAGACAAGCTGGGGCCATTTGGCTGGGTCTTACTAAAGCAATGGTGAGCGAGGCTCAAACCTAAGGCTAGGGACAAGTGTCGAGGCTTGAGAAGAGGTGCTCCACCTCTGCAGCATGGGGTACAATCTTATGTATATGGCTCGTGAGTGTCTTGAGAGGGTGATCGAAGGCATCAATAATGAGTAATGACCACCATTCATGTGTGTCGGCTTTTCTGCCAGCAAAAGGAGGCTGACCACTGAAGTAGGCTTTCAGGTCAGTCATGAGCTTCAATGCCTGATGCTTGGACCACTTCCATCACAACATAATGTCAAGCAAGATTCTGATGGTGTCAACCAATTTGCATAAGTGGGCAGCAGAAAAAATGGCAAGTTTCTGGCAGAGTGGATGAAGGAAGAGGCCAAGCCAATAAATATCAGTATTTATAGCATGAAATTCACGATTGAGGGTGAGTTGAGTGTGTGCAGCAAACTCAGGACTCTTCCTGGGCAAAAGAGGAATACAACTGATCTCACAATAAGCTCAAATGAGCTACAGCATGCAATCAGCAAGAGTTGCATCCTGTGATTCAATATCACCAATCACGTCAACCAAGGGTTTGGTGATGCAAATGAGTTGGTCAGTTAGGATCCAGTGCTCGGCAGAGACAACGATTGGGATGATATCCTTCATGACTGGTGACAACCTGCTGACAGTGTGAACAGCTTCTCTTTGGGAGCAGATTTGTATGAGTGCAGTCCTGTGGTCGCGAACACTGAGAGATTGAAGTATGAGAGAGTAGAAGTGAGAGGCTGTATGTGTCTTCAAGCTGCAGGTGATCTTCAACAGTCATGCTACATCCTTGAGTTGCCCACCCCAGTAGTGTGATGCTGTCGCGACTTGAGGTCAAGCGACTTGTGGAAAACCTAAAAGCTGGGGGCGTCCGACTGATTCTCACCGAAGCGATGGTGAGCGATGGTCAAACCTAAGGCTAGGGACAAGATAATATATTAGTGAGGTAAGAAAAGGAATACAAAGGATGCTTACTGACCTAGGGACAAGAGGTCGAAACTGAGGTCCCTAGGGCAGCAGAGGCCGGCTTATATACAGGGGAAGTTTAGGGGAGGCTGTGCGCACTGGTCCGTGCACAGCTGGTCCGTGCGCAGCATGCTGACGCGGCCCCAGGGGCCGGTGAGTCAGAGAGGCTGTGTCAGCGGAGCCCAAGCTGTGCCGTGCACTGCTGCCCATCTAATCTAATTGTACAGTAGATAGTGATGCGTCCATATCAGGCATGTAGTACAGAGGTCGCGGGTTCAAGCCCGCGAAAAGGAAAAAATTAAAAAACGGCTAGATGCCATACCAACTCATGACATTACCCCCCCCTCAACGGTGCATGACCTCATGCGAGGTGCCCTTGCCCATCTCCCATCTGGAGCGGCATCGTGCTTCAGTCAGCGGCGAAGGCATTGGCTGAAAGTTGAGACCACCAAAGGTAGTAGCATTGAGGCGATGAGGGGTGTTTGGGTTCCTCCGGTGGAAGTCGGCTATGAGGGCCGGCGCATTGGCAACGTTGCGCGCCGGCTCCCATGACGTATGCGAGTCATCATAACCCTTCCACTTGACGAGGTACTACAGCTGACGCCGGAAGATTCTCGAATCTTTGATCCGCTCAACCTCGTACTCTTCGTCGCCCTCAACCTCAATGGCAGGCGGCTCCTCCGGCTCCCGGCCCGGGATGTCGCTATGCGTGTACTTGCTGAGCAAGGAGACATGGAATACTGGGTGCACAGGCACCGACTTTGGTAGGACTAATTCATAATCCAAGTCTCCAAGCTTTCGCCGCACGGCATAAGGTCCAAGGCGCTTGGGACTGAGCTTCTTGCTCGGCTGTTTCAGCTTAAGGTTCTGGGCATCAAGCCAGACCTTGTCCCCCGGCGCAAAGACCGGTGCCTCCTGCACGTGCTTGTCGTAGTACACCTTCATGCGCTCGGCTGACAGCTCAAGCGCAGAGCGCGTATCATCGCGAATCTCCCTCAAGATCTTGAGCCGATCAGTGGCTGCAGGCATTGCAGACATCGGGTTGATCCGCACTTGGATCTCAGGATGATACCCCTGATGCAGGAAGAAAGGGGAGTGCCCGGTCGCGGAGTGAACTCGGTTGTTTAGTGCAAACTCCGCAAGCGGCAACTGCTTCGCCCAATCATCCTGCCTGTGGCTTGTGAAAGCACGCAGGTACTGCTCAATTTCCTGATTCCAGCGCTCGGTCTGGCCATCCGTCTGAGGGTGGAACGCTGTGGACAGCGCCGGCTCGATCCCTAGGCCCTTGTACACCGCATGGAGATACTTTGAAGCGAACTGGGGACCTCGGTCTGATATGACCTTGGCCGGGGCCCCATGATGCTTGAATACGTCGCGGATGTACAGATCTGCCGCACCTTCTGCCGTCAGGGTCTCATGACAGGCCGAGAAGTGGACCTGCTTGGTGAAGCGGTCGGTGGTAACCAGGATCGAGTCGAATCCATCAGACTTCGGCAAGCCAACGATCATATCCGTGGTGATGATCTGCCACGGGCGCTCGGGGATCTCGTTCGGCTTCAGCGGACCCTGGGGCTTGGCTGGGAATGTCTTGGTACGGTTGCACACGTCACAGGTGCTTACGTACTCATTGACGAATTTGGACATTCCTGGCCACTAGTAGTTCTGCGATACGAGCTCGAGGGTTTTGGCACGACTGCCGTGTCCGGCAATCGGCGAGTCGTGGTGGATTTTGACAATGTCCCGCCGGAGCTCCGCGTTCTTTGGGACATAGACCATCTCGCGGAACAGCAGAAGCCCTTGCTTGGCATTCCACTCCTCAAAGCCTTTCTGCAGCCTAGGTGGTCCGAGGTTCTGCACTTTTTCAAGTGCCTCGGCCACAACCCGATCCTTATCCGAACACTCCCTGATGCGCTTCAGAAGCGACTGATCAGCCGTCACCGAGGCATGACCGCATCTAGTGGAGGCGATGCGGAATTTCTCTGGTTTGAGAACCACCTAATCGGTGTTATCGTCCTCATTGCCGATCTGATGATCTGATCGGCGTGACAGGGCGTCAGCCTTTCCATTCAACGTTCCAGCCTTATGCGTGATGCGGAAGTCGAAGTGAGCCAGGAACAGTGACCATCGCGCTTGACGACGTGTGAGGTGCTGGGACGTGCACCAGTATTCGAGGTTTTTGTGATCAGTGACGATCTCGAACTGATTGGGCAATCCCTCGAGATAGTGGCGCCAATCTTCTAGTGCTTCAATGATCGCAAGCATCTCCTTATCGTAGATCTCGTAGTTACGCTGGGCAGGGTCCATAGCGTGGGATCTGAAGGCGATAGGATGCCATTTGCCGTCGTCCTGCTTCTGCATCAATACGCCGCCAGTGGCGTAGCCCAAGGCATCAACCTCAATGTGCGTCTCTCGATTTGGGTCATACAGCGCCAAGACTGGCGTTGTCACAAAAAGCCGTTTGAGTTCATCAAAGGCGTGCTGCTCCTCTTCACCCCAATGCCATGGGTCATTCCCTGTGAGTCGGTCGAGTGGTCGCGAGATCTTAGCGAAGTCCTTAATGAAGCGGCGGTAAAAGTTGGAAAACCCCCGGAACTTCTGAACGTCTTTTTTGTTCCGGGGTACCGGCCACTCATTGATTCCTTTCAACTTCGCGGGATCCATCGCTACCTCATTGCCACCGAACACATAGCCGATGTAGTCGACCTTGGGAACATCCCATTTGCACTTCTCAGGCTTCAGGAATAGATCGTTATCCTGAAGGCGGCACAGAACCTCGCGTGTGACCTTCTCATGCTCCTCCTTGTTGGTAGAGAAGACGAGTATGTCGTCCAGGTACACGAGGATCTTGCCGCCGATGATGAGATCGTGGAAGATCTTGTTCATCATCGCCTGGAAAGTTGCGGGGGAGTTGGTGAGACCGAAGAACATCACCAAGGGCTCGTACAACCCTCGGTTGGTCACAAAGGCCGCTTTCCATTCATCACCGGCTTTGATCCGGACGTTGTTGTATCCCCACCGGACATCGAACTTTGTAAAGAGCGTGGCACTGCGGAGCTTATCTATCATCTCGGCGATCAGCGGCAAAGGGTAACGATTTTTCACCGTGATCGCGTTCAACCGACGGTAGTCCTGTACAGGTTGAAGCGTCCCTTCCTTCTTTTTGATGAAGAAGAAGGGGGACGAGATGGGCGACTTCGATTCCCGTATGTAACCCTTCGCCAGCTGCTCCTTTAGGAACTTGTCAAGCTCCTCCTGCTCATTGTTCGACAGGGGGTACACCTTCGAATGGAACGTCGAGTAGCCGGGCACGAGTTCGATCGCATGATCATACGGCTTCCTTTCGGGTAGCCGTTCTGATGCTTCTTTGGAGAAGACATTCAGGAACTCGTGGTACTGTTTAGGTACCGACTCCTCGGCGGTCTTAACGACTTTCTTCTTGATCTCCTCCTTAGCGAACAACTGGGAGTACGTATGCCCAGCTGCGATGAACAGCTGAGGGGCACCAGGAAGCGTAATACCTTATTCCCAGGCCTCGATCAAGTCAGCTTCGTCCCACTCTACTTCCACCGGATCTTCTTTGGGTTCGAAGTCCGGCAGTACCTTACTCCGGCAGGCACCTATGACCGACCGTTTGGACTTCAGCGAATGCCTGCGCGCCGTGGGCCTGACCCCCGTATCACGCGCAGTCGCTGCTTGCTCCATTCGGCCAGCCCTTCTGGCGCTGCACGTTTCAGGACATCGTGACAATTTTAGGGAGCCCGACTCCCAATCAATCTCTGGGTTGTGCTCTCGTAGCCAATCTAACCCAACGATCACATCCTCTGGACCGATGTCCGTGACCGTAAACACTGTTTTCTCGACGTGTTCTCCTATCTGCATCTGTAGCACGGCTACTTCCGAGATGCTTCCGTCTTTATTGAGTGTTCCATCGATGTTGTAAAGCGGAATAGGTTCTTTCAATTTCCGCGTTCGTACTCGATTCTCCGTGATGAAGCGCTTGTTGATGAATTTCGTGGTGGCTCCACTGTCCACCATTGCAATTATATCTCTGTGCCGTCTTTCTCCCTTGAGGCGCACCGGGATGTGGAAGTGCTGGGACCCATGGTCCAACTCGTAAACATTCGCGATCGCCAATACATTGTACAAATTGTTATTACGAGGTCCGACGCGTGCGGCACGAAGCACGGACCGGATCAAAAAGACTCCTCTTTGAGCGCTCGATAGTGCTCCAGCTCCTCGCGCATCGACTTCATCTGTGCCATTAAGTCCGCCAGCTCGGAACTATCCGATCTTGCTGAAGCGGCGCTTGTACTTGCCGAGGATGAAGCGACGGGGGCGCTTGTCGCCGCCTGGGTGGAACCCGAGGCAACCGTAGCCCGTGCGTCAGCGCGTTTTATGTAAGGCTTGTCCTTACAATTGGGGCACTCGAAGCGTCGGTACCCTTGCTTCCCACAGCCGTAACAATTGCCAGGGAAGTTGCCTTTTACGACGGCCGCATTGATGCTGGCTGAAGCTCCATGTGACTGGGGCACACCACCACGTGCCCCGCCGCGTCCTCGACCTCGAGCCGAGAAGAAATTGTTCAACTCAGGTCGACGGGCCCGGCTGATATCAAGGATCTGTTCGACCTCCGTGGCGCGCTTGTCAGTGTCTTCCCACGTGGCGAACGTCTCGAGCTCGATCTTGCGGTAGACGCGGGAGGGGATGCCGCTCAGGTACTTGTCGCGCAGTTCCAAGTCCCCATACCCGGAACGGTCCACCGGACCCTTGAACAGCGCGGAGAACTCCGCAGCAGTGCGTTTTTCGTGGACCGACTTGTCCGCGCAGAGTTTGGCCAGTTCTACCTAGGCCGCTGCCTCATCATCGAGGTTGCCGAAGCAGGCTTTGAAGGCCGTGGCAAAGGCCGCCTCATTGGCGAAGGGGGTCGTTACTCCCTGCACACTGAGTTGCACTGATACGAGCTGGGCGAAGTAGGGCGTGGCCCAAGTGCGGGCATCACCGTCGAGCAGGCTTAGTGCAACCTGCACCTTGAGCTCGATGGTTGTTAACGACGTGTTGACCAACCAATAGATGCGCAGCTGCGACAGGAACCTGTCGCACTCGATGACGGTTTTGCCATCGTATCGGAGCGGGAGGAGGAGTTTCAGGGTATCCTTATCAGGGGGGGACACTGGTGAGGACATTACCGACGACGAGGGGGACGGAGGACTGCCCACGGGCGAAGACGGCTGTTGTGACTGTCCGCCGGGCGAACTTCGAGAGGAGCGAGTACTCGAGCGGCCTCGCGGCGGCGATGGCGGTGGAGGCGACGGAGGAAGTCCGGTGGCGGGGTGACGTACGACAGGGACTGGAGTCGAGGATGAGATTGCTGACGACGAGCTGGCCCAAGTAACCGCTGGACTGTTGCTGGGCTCAGGCTTCGGGTTCCTTTCCAACCGTGACCCCAAGGAGGACTGGGGGATGGTTTGAGGGGTCGCTGTAGACTGTGCGACTGCCTCAACTCCTCGAGGGAGACTGGGATCTCCTCGTGCTTGACCTGTACTGGTGACAGGTTGGGGGATGCGGGTGCCTGGGGAGGCAGGTCGGGAAGGGACGGGAGTGACGTGGCGAGATGTGGATCTCGAGGTGCCAGCGTATCGAAGTGCCGGGCCGCAGGGGTGCTGGACTCGTCGGATGGGCACATAGCGCCCTTCGTCAGTAGTGATGGATCGTGGAGTGCGATTAGGGCACGGTTGTCGATCACAGATGAAAAAGGGAGCTTGATTCCCGTCGCTTTCAGGGTCGTCGCGGGAGACGTCGATTTGCTCCTGGGTGTCGAAGGCGTGCTCAAGTCGAGAGCAGTCGAAGAATTCATCAGCCACGGTGATGGGGAGAGGAAGGGGAGGTGCACGTGCTACGAAAGGCCGTGTTAGACTAGCTTACACCTACGGCGCCCGAGGTAACACTAGGGTTTGCAGTTCACGTGGGGCCCAGTACTGCTTTTGGCTAGTATGCAGCAGGAACCTAATCCACGCGTCCGTGAGGACAAGTACCGCCCACTGAAGTGCAGATACTGAAGAGTTCGTTCCCTAAGTGGTGGCGATGTATCGTATGTTATCTATGTATCGTAGGGTACAGTAAGGGTGCACACCACCCAACCTATAGGAAGTGAATGTGAGTTTGTGGGAGTCCCGATGGAATGCCGGCAGCTATGGGGAGTTTCGACCTAATGTCGCGACTTGAGGTCAAGCGACTTGTGGAAAACCTAAAAGCTGGGGGTGTCCGACTGATTCTCACCGAAGCGATGGTGAGCGATGGTCAAACCTAAGGCTAGGGACAAGATAATATATTAGTGAGGTAAGAAAAGGAATACAAAGGATGCTTACTGACCTAGAGACAAGAGGTCGAAACTGAGGTCCCTAGGGCAGCAGAGGCCGGCTTATATACAGGGGAAGTTTAGGGGAGGCTGTGTGCACTGGTCCGTGCACAGCTGGTCCGTGCGCAGCATGCTGATGCGGCCCCGGGGGCCGGTGAGTCAGAGAGGCTGTGTCAGCGGAGCCTGAGCTGTGCCGCGCACTGCCGCCCCATCTAATCTAATTGTACAGTAGATAGCGATGCATCCATATCAGGCATGTAGTACAGAGGTCGCGGGTTCAAGCCCGCAAAAAGGAAAAAATTAAAAAACGGCTAGACGCCGTACCAACTCGTGACAGATGCATTGAAGAACGTGACAATGCAGGTGTTCTTTGTGATAACAGCTTTGATCAGTGGATGCACCATAATTTTGCCCATGATTGTGTTGATGCCATGCATAAAACATGCAAGGGGCTATAAGATAAAACATAGTCAGCTCACATATGAACAATATTGAGGCTGCTACTTATAATTATCCAGCAGTGTTTATTGGGAGCTGTCCACATCCAATAAAATGCTTCCATGGTCATCGGATTGTCAGTACAAACAGCAAATACTGACTCCAGTTTGACATCCTTTTTTTTTGAGAGCATTGTCTGCAACCTCAAGGAGCCTCACCGCAGTTGCATGCTCTCCCGACATATCTTCAAAACAGAGCACAATGGGGTGTTCACCAAGCTGTGCAATCAGGTACCCATACACACTCTGCTTGAGCGCATCCTCCCAGCCGTCCATGAGGTATATGAGGTCATGCTTTTCCTCCAAACAGTGCTGGTCCATGCTCCCAACATGAGCTTCCTCTGCGGGAAGGATTCTCACCATCAAAATATACTGTGTTGCAGGGGAGTAGGATGGGTGAAGATGATTGATAAATCAGAGGAAATAGGGATTTTCGGATGATGAGAAAGGAATGTTTGCATGTACTAGGAAACTGTTGATTTGTATTAGGATATTTCTATAGTAAGAAGTGGAATCCCATAACATTACCGAAGCAAATAAATGTGGAATTGATCAGTCTCCATTGACATAACCCAGTTTGCAAACATCTTGAGAGTTCCATTCTGCTTCATCAGTACACTTTTGCCAAGAGTGATCTTTTGCTTCTTGCTCAAACCTTCTGCTTGATCAAGAACAATTGGCTGGGTTTTTGTTGCACCTGCAAAGACATCTGACTCTACAATCCCACCCTTCTTCATTAACATTGTCAGAGCACTCTTCTGCACCACATTCAGGGCATTTTGTATAGTGCTGGCTGCGAGAGATGTTGGATACAATGAAGATTCTGATGTTCAATGACAGACTGGCAGTGATGGCACTGCATTTGCCATCATTTCATGACGGGATTTTGCTCTTCTTCCCTGGTATAGTTCTTGTCAACCAGAGTATTGAGATTATGTCCACCTGTGTGCTTTTTTGTTGATGGCTCGGGCATGGGGAGACAACAAAATTTCTACTTCAAGTCTGGGCCAGGCCAACCTCTCCAAGTTGCGCCAGCAATCGTCATTCCCGATTCCTGTGCCATATGGCGCACACCAATTGCTGCACCAGGTGCAACGGTTTGGTGCCAGTATCAAGGTGACTGATCTTGATTTCCAGTAAACACAAAATTCAAAATGAATCCCTTTTCCTGAACTTATGATTACGGTTGTAACTACTCTCACCATAATTTTCTCTTATACTCAATGAATTCTGCTGTGGAAGCGTGGGCTGTCATTTTCAACTCCGATGATGCACAAACAATGGTTGTGCATATTCCTGTCTTATATCACCACTACATGTAAAAGTAATTTGCTGGAGGTACTGTTGTAGATTTACATAACACTGATCACTAGACAATCTTGATCTAATGTCAGGCTCCAGTCACCCAGCACAGACGGAGGTCAAACACTAGGGACTCTGTTGTCCATAGAAGTAGCAGTCTAGAAATCCCCTTCTTACCATCCTTGTATCAATAGGTGACACAGGGAGCAGTTGCACAGGACTAGCACTGAAGTACTGAATGCCACAATAGGGGCTGAAGTCGAAGTGGGTCACAGAAGTGTGTATTAAAGGGTCGCTACAGAGCTCTTTATATACATGAGCAAGGGAAAGCATTCCCACGGTAGAACAATAGAAGAAAGAACAATAGAGTACAAAAGGAGAACAAAGGCCACTTGGCCACAGGAACAATGGAACAAAAGAAGTGTGGCCGGAGCTCTGCTCTGGTCCGGATGCTCTGCAATTGATACAACCATGTGGTCACATGGTGTGGTGGCTCCCGCCACCGGGGGATCACCCTAGGCCGACCAGGGGACTGTGGCAGAGCACATTGTAACACCTTGATCTGTGTGTCTGGTGGTCTGAATGCTTTAACTACAACCGGCAGGCCCAACCAGCTCACAATTGCAAGTTTGCAAATGCCATCATGGAGTGTAAGAAATGTGGTGCAGACATGAGGAAAGGGAGGGTGGTAGTTGACACGCAGAGCTCCAGAGGGACTAGCACTAGTGGTCGGCCTGTGCCTATCTGCAAGTTGGCACAGTTGTCAACAAGTAGGTTAGTTGAGTGGGGACCTTTGCCTACTGACACTCCTGATAGTTCAACATCCACCCATGGTCATGTGACTTGCCAACACATGTGGCCTGCCCACAGCTTTAAGTGGAAGGTTCCCACTGGTGATGATGCAAAGGACACTGCCAAGGGCCAGAAGCCAAGGGTGAAGCAGGTTAAGACAGCCATTGCGAAAAAGCCAAAGGTGATGTAGGTCAAGGATGCCATTGCGAAGAAGCCCCAATTTCTTTCCCCACATATGGCCTGTGGGGCTACATTTAGACACAACAAAAACCTCAGGCAGCACCACAGGGAGACCAAATCATTTCTGCTGTACACCGGCAGGTGTGCATCAATTTGCACTCACTACAGAACAGGCTTCCCCAGGATGAACTCATGGCGCCTGCACATCGCAAATCCGGACACCTGTGAGAAGGCCGAGAAGGAGAAGCAACTGAGTGAGCAGGAGAAGAAGGGAAAGCAGAAGGGTGGAATTAGAAATTGACAAAGACCACCATACTTGGAAGTGTGTGAGTATCAGGTCTTGCAGCTTGGACAGGATATACTTATCTTAATTTGTTTCGAATCTACCTGCACAGGTCTTTGATCTTAGTGGGTAAGGAACAATGTGAAGCCAGAATAAGCTGAAATTATACCCAATCTCACAAATATTGCAAGCCATGTGTCTGTACTACATAGGGTATAGTATTCAGGCAAACCAAGCATAATGCACCGACAAGAAGACAAATGACACCCATATAATATAGCTGTTATACAGAGCGACGAGACATCCATATTCTATCAAAAGGCGACGCAGGGAGCAGTTGCACAGGACTAGCACTGAAGGACTGAATGCCACAAGAGGGGCTGAAGTCGAAGTGGGTCACAAAAGTGATATTACAGGTCGCTACAGCAGCCCTTTATATACATGAGCAGGGGAAAGCATTCCCACGGCAGAACAATAGAGAAAAGAACAATAGAGTCCAAAAGTAGAACAAGGGCCACTTGGCCACAGGAACAATGCAACAAAAGAAGTGTGGCCGGAGCTCTGCTCCGGTCCGATCGCTCCGCAATTGATACAACCATGTGGTCACATGGTGTTGTGGCTCCTGCCACCGGGGGATCGTCCTAAGCTGTCACAATGTGCTCTGCCACAGTCCCCTGGTCGGCCTAGGACGATCCCCCGGTGGCGGGAGCCACAACACCATGTGACCACATGGTTGTATCAGTTGCGGAGCATTCGGACCGGACCAGAGCTCCGGCCACACTTCTTTTGTTCCATTGTCCCTGTGGCCAAGTGGCCCTTGTTCTCCTTTTGGATTCTATTGTTCTTTTACCTATTGTTCTGCCATGGGAATGCTTTCCCCTGCTCATGTATATAAAGGGCTGCTGTAGCGACCTGTAATATCACTTCTGTGACCCACTTCGACTTCAGCCCCTCTTGTGGCATTCAGTCCTTCAGTGCTAGTGCTGTGCAACTGCTCCCTGCGTCGCCTTTTGATAGGTTATGAGCCCCGCGCTCTAGCAGTCAACTACACACACTACTAGCGCGCCACAGAGTCAATCTCTTCAATCTTCGGACCACTCCTTGTCCCAATACTCTCATATCTTTCATCCTCTGCCACTCTGTCTATGGCTACAATGTCGAACCACTCGTCCTCTCTCTCCTTCCCCAAGCTCAATGCCTCGAACTACAAGTCCTGGGCTGGGGACATGGCTGCCTGTCTGCGCTCTGCAGGCCTATGGCGCCTTGTCTCTGGTGCCCACCTCAAGCCACAGGCCAAGGACCCCAAAGCCCCCACTGAAGCGGAGGCCACACTACTGGAGAAGTGGGAGGTGGAGGAGGCAAAGGCTGCTGGGTGGTTGTATCTCATGGTTGAGGCGGACCAAAAGGTGCATTTCTCCAACATTGACAGCGACCCTGTTGCAATGTGGGTGGCCCTCAAGGGTGTCCACCAGCGTCCTCATGCTGCTGGACGTTGGAATGCCTGGGAGGCCCTGTTGTCTATCAGGAAGAGCGATTCTGAGTCGCTTCAAGCGGTTATCAACCGCGTTGAAGACGCCATGCAGCAATGCAAGAATCTGCGCCCTGACAAGTACACTCTGGACGAGCTTGACAGTGAACTTACTGTCATGGCTATGATCCTGGCCCTCCCTCGCGAGGACTTTGCCCTCCTGCGCACTCAGCTGCTCAATGGCGACCTCAAGAAGGCCACAGTCATTCAGGCCTTTGTCACTGAGGATGCCCAGCGCCGCCATGACTCCACCATTGCTTCCCAGTCTGCCCTAGCAGTCGCCTCATCGTCCTCTGGCCCCTGCGACTTCTGTGGCGCATCTGGCCACTCCCAGCCACAGTGCTACTCGTTCCAGAAGGCCCAGAAGCAGGCCAAGGAGCGCCGCACCACCAGAGGCAAAGGCAAGGCTGCCACTGCGCAGGAGAAGCCTGCAGAACCTACCCAAGAATCCGCTGCAAATGCAAGTGCCCTCTCCTCACACTCCCTTGAGCCCTCTTCGCCCTCTACACCGCTCCAGCTTGATGCTGACTTCACCTGGAATGCAGACACAGGCGCCACTTCTCATATGACGCCTCACCGCCACTGGCTTCGCAATTACAAGCCACTGCGCTTGCCTGTGAAGTTGGCTGACAACAAGGTTGTCTACTCTGCTGGTGTTGGGTCGGTCGTCTTCAGGCCTAGGGTGAAGGGAGCATTTGTGCGGTCTGTGGAGTTCTCAAGGGTGCTGCATGTGCCTGATCTGCGAAGCAATCTCCTGTCCTGTCTTCATCTTGCGCGCAATAAAGGGTTTTCCATCACCATTTCGTCCGATGCCATGGCCTTCTATCAGTCTGGCACACTGCGCTTTGTCGCACCTATTGACCCCAACAATGCTGCCTACCTAGATGGCGAAGTTGAGCCCCTTGTTGAGGCTTCAGCACGCATTGCAGCCACTCTGCCACTCGACCTCAACCTCTGGCATCGTCGTCTTGCTCACAATAACTATGCAGACGTCCAGAAGCTTGTCAGAGACGAGCTGGTCACTGGCCTTACCCTCAGCTCGAAGCAGCAGCCTGACCCTGTCTGTGAGCCATGCCTAGCAGGCAAAATGCGAGCAAACCCCTTTCCTCCTTCGTCTCATGTGTCCACCATACCTCTGGAACTCATCCACAGCGACGTCCATGGCCCTCTGCCTGTCCGCACTCACTCTGGTTATCGCTACTGGATCACCTTCATTGACGACTACTCCAGATTCAGAGTCGTCGTCCTGCTCAAGGCCAAAAGCGAAGCCTTCAGTGCGTTCAAGCGCTTCAAGGCCTATGCTGAGAACCAGCTGGGTGTGAAGATCAAGGCACTCCAGGATGACAAGGGAGGGGAGTACATGTCCAATGAGTTCATCGCATTCACAGACTCCTGCGGCATTGTGCGTCGCCACACTGTGCGCAACAGGCCACAGCAGAATGGGGTTGCCGAGCGAGCCAATGGTGTCATGTCTGACACTGCCACTGCCATGCTTGCAGAGTCCTCCTTGCCTCCGTCCTTCTGGGGCGAGGCTGTGGCTGCTATGGTCCATGTCTGGAATCGGCTCCCTACTGCAGTGCACCCTGGCACCACCCCCTATGAGCTCTGGCACAAGGGCAAGCCCAGTGTGGCGCATTTGCGCGTCTGGGGCTGCACTGCTTATGTGCACATCCAGAAGGACCAGCGCAAGGGTCTGTCGCCTCACATGCAGAAATGCGTGTTCATAGGCTACCCTGACGGCTACAAGGGCTGGAAGTTCTACTGCCCTGACACCAGGAAGGTGGTGATCTCAGAACGCGCTGAGTTTGATGAGCGGTTCTTCCCTGGTCTGAGGCGCACTCCTGCCTCGCTTTCCACTCCCATTGTCGACCCTCCGACCTCTGAGCCTGTCCCTCTCTTTGTACCTGCACTGGATCAAGGGGGGGACGACGACTTTGTGCCTGCTGCCATTCCTCAGGCCCCTATTGCGCCAATTCCTGCAGCAGCACCTCCTCCAGTTGCTCCAGTGCCTGTCCAAGCTCCTGCGCCTCCTGCACCAGTTGCACCTCCTGTGCCACAAGCTGTTCAGCCACCTCCTGCGCCACAAGCTGCGCACCAACCCTCTCCTGAAGCGGACGACCTCAATCTGCCCATTGCCATTCGCAGGGGAAGACGGCATGCACCAGTCCCTGCTCCTGCCCCAAAGCGCGAAGACTCTCCTGATCCCCTTGACCTGTTTGCTGAGGAAGCGGATTTTGTCGAAGTGCAGTTTGCTGGGCTTGCAGCTGGTGCTGACCCTCACAATTTCCGCGAAGCCATGCGCTCCCCTGATGCCAAACTGTGGCAGACAGCCTGCAACGACGAGATACTCTCCCTGATTGCAAACCACACCTGGGATGCAGTCCCTCTGCCTGCTGGAAAGAAGGCCATTGGATGCGGCTGGGTGTTCAAAGTGAAGCACAATGCTGATGGCTCAATTGAGCGGTACAAGGCTCGACTTGTGGCCAAGGGCTACTCACAGCGGCCTGGCTTCGACTACACCGAGGTTTTTGCGCCCACCTCTCGCCCTGCTGCCCTGCGCCTTGTCCTTGCCCTCACTGCCATTGAGGATCTGGAGCTGCACTCTGTCGACATCTCCTCTGCCTTCCTACAGGGCGACTTGGACGAGGAAATCTACATGCAGCAACCTGAAGGCTTTGCCCAAGGTCCCCCTGGCACAGTCCTGCGTCTAGGCCGTCCTATCTATGGCCTCAAGCAGGCTGGCCGCATGTGGAACAAGAAGCTGCACCAGGTGCTCTCCTCCATGGGCTTCAAGCGGCTCGAGTCTGACCGCAGTGTGTACATCTACCTGCGAGATGAAGTGCGCATTATCATCCCTGTGCATGTGGATGACCTCACTCTGGCCTCCACCTCGCGCGCTGCCATTGACAAGACAGTCGAGGAGCTCTCTCAGCACTTCAAACTGCGCAACCTTGGCCCCACCACATTCCTGCTGGGCATTGAGATCACCAGGGACCGCAAAAAGCGCACCATGTTCCTGTCACAGCGGCAGTACATCCTGGACATGCTGGAGCGCTATGGCCTCACCAGCTGCAAAGCGGTGTTGACTCCAATGGAGCCTGGCCTTCGCCTTTCCAAGCAGCAAGCCTGTCAGAGTGATGAGGACCGCACCTTCATGCAGGACAAGCCCTACCTCAATGCAGTCGGCTCCCTCATGTATCTGGCCATCACCACTCGCCCTGACATCCAGTATGCTGTCTCCTGCCTTGCGCGCTTCAACTCCTGTCCTGGACCTGCCCATTGGGCCGCAGTCAAGCACCTCTTTCGCTATCTGCAGGGCACCAAGGACCACAAGCTCGTCTACAGGCCTGACGACCTGGGTGCACCCTTTGTGACCTTCACAGACTCTGCTCATGGTGACTGTCCGGACTCTGGACGTTCCACCAGTGGCTACCTGGTCAAGGTTGGCTCAGGAGCGATCAGCTGGTCCAGCAAACTCCAGTCCATAGTC